TACCAGGTACTGCAAACAACTGTTTACTAACTAAAACAAAGCCATGGCCAGCCTCAGGACCAGAAGGGTGTGAGGTAACAGTACTGGTCGTACCCAGGAGAGAGGAGGTAGGACCATCCTCAGGAAACAAGGAATAAGGCTCAGGACAAACAGGAAATGAACCACTAGAGGAAGGGGGGGTAGGAGATGACATGCCTCACGGACCAAACTATGTAAGGGATTATCGGGCCAGGCTACGGATATCTGTCCCTAAACATCTTTGGAGATTGAACCAACATACTAACTTAACTAAAGTAGGCCAGAAAAATAAAAGCATCAAGCAACAAACAATAAAGATATAAATGAGGCACGAAGTAAGATGGAATTCCCAATAGAGGGTCTTAAAAGTACATACAATACTGAGGTGGATCGAAGATAGGAGTGTAGGAAATAAACTTGAAGAACATATAAAGAGCTCATACTTAGAGTTCTAATGACCCTTTATATAGTTGCTCTTCACCTGGTGTGACTCATACCTTGCATCATGCGAACCTTGTGATGCGGAACTATGAGTCATGTAAAATCCATCAGCTGACTCTTATGAGTTACTGCGCAACATACCTTAAACCAATCAAAACTTAATAACTAAGTCAGGTGTGCAACTCACATTACCTGAGTGAAACCCAAGACTCATAACTTAAGTCATGTGCAAAAATCCTAACATTGTATAACTCACAACTGTGAGTCAGGAACATGTAAACATAATAACCTATGGTGCACTAGTGTGTGTCATGTGAAATCCCAACATACCTATAGCTCAGAATTCTAAGCTATGTAAAAGCTGCCTTGCTTAGTTACAGTTTGTGACAGTATATTATCAGCTTTTTAATAAGTATATATTATGTTATAGAAAGTACTCAGCTTTATGTACACTAGGGCTGCAATATCTCTCCATTTCATTTTTCCTTCATTACAGAGAGTAATAATTCCAAGATGTTTATCATAAATTGTTTCTCAGTTTTTTGTATTTCCTGAGAAGTATGTACTCTGTATTTCCTCCAACCTCATTGTAGGTTGTAAGGAATGCTCTGGCCAGTAGTTTGGTAGTTATATGGCAGTGGCAACAGACCTGCTCATATTCAATAACCTCACTTCCATGACTTGGTTTGGGTTAATAGGGACTTTGCGAAAAGACTCTGGATGTGGGTCAAACAGGGTTCTGGGCCAATTAGATCGCTAGAATTTGACTCTGGATTCGAAATCGCAAAGTCTCTAATGAATCTTGATTTTTGACTTTGACAAAATCCACCAATCATATCCATTCCGATCACTTACCCTGACACCCTCGTAGAGTACTCGCGCGTCTTTGCCAAGAATAGCTCCGCTACCCAGTAGCTGGGTGCTTTCGAGGTACATTCAGTCTTACAAGACATCAACAACCCAGACTTGAATAACAAGACATTTCAGATAGAGTTAAAAAACACTTCAGGCATTGAAATTATTTTTCCCACCATTTTCCTTCAACTGACGTAAATTTGAATGAAAGGTATGATACTACAATAACCATCAATAACCTCTTGTGGAATAGCTTGCCATTCCCTTCTTATGATATCCTTATACCTCTCAACTTCTTTCCGCCCCTGCCCTCTGGGTCTTGGATGCTTAGCAACATGATCCTTGAGTACACGCCAAATGGGTTCGATTTTGTTGATATCGGGTGAGTTTGCTGACCAAACTGGTAGACCATAGACAGGTGAGTCCTTATGTGGTACACGATATATCCCTCGTGTTTCTGCCTCTTGTGCATCGAGTCGAGCTGCTTGGGTATGGTTACTGGCATTGTCTTCAATTAACCATATTCGGATTTGACGCTCCTGGCTGAGAGCTTCAAGAAATGGGTAAACTAAAGGATGTAGAACCTCCTTCTGGTACATAAACCAATTGAATCCCTCCCCAGAACTTCGCTCAGCTATCTCTTCACCAAACTCCCAATTAGGCCTTTGAGGCATCTTTCATGACTTTTCTGGCTTCCTTTGTTCATTATACTTCTTGATTTGCTTGTTTTTTTCTTGAAGAAAGTTGTACTCGTCTGTACCCAGCTGTGTCGCCCGCTTGCGCTTTACAGTTATTCGTTGAAGCTTAGCTTCATTCTCACCCTTTAGCTCTTCAGCATTTTCTTTTCGTTCCTCCTTGGTTTCTTTTTCCCGTATATACAAGGTACCTTTATGCCCTAAAGCTACACATGCGGAAAGCATTAGGGTAAAAAGTGGCTTGTCAGATGGAACAACATAGTCGTAGGGGTTGGAGCCATGTGGACATGTAACTTTCTGCCGACCACGAGTTCCACCAATCTCAATCCATGATTCATTGGTGAAAGCAAAAGCCTCAATGGGTATTTCCAGAGCCCAATCTGCAAGCTGAACACGAGCAGCCCAATCATGCTGATTTAATCTAGGCTTACGACGAGGATTAAAACGTCCGAGATTGTGATGTTCCTTCATAATTTTATATGCATAAGAATGCGAGATTTCCACTCCTACCTTCTTGGCAATCTCAGGATATGCTTTTTGCCAATACTCTTGATCCTGGAGAGCTACCTTGTAGAGCGATTCTGATTCAGCTGAGCCTTTTACAATCGTTTGCGGAACTGCAGGCTCTAATCTTTCCTTATCCTCAAGATGGTTTAGCAGCTCTAAGAAGCTTGCTTTATCACCTGCGTAGGTCTGTATTCACCGGTTAGTTATTGTTACCATAATCCTAATAGCAATCAGAAATACCTTTGCTCGACTACAAATTCCTTTCATTTCTGCTACAGAAACCGTCCTTTCAACCACCTCCTCAATAGCCTCATATGACATATCAGCTCCTTCCCTCATCCCATCAATAGCTCCTCTCATTTGTATAGGAAAACTCTTCCCTTGAGGCATCATGGAATGGTTGTAGTGTAATGTGAATATTTGTCATTCCGGCATGTCACCTCTGGTTGTTGCTGTCATCACCAATCACTTTTACGTTGAAAGTGCCGAGCCGTCGGGTAGTGGAGCTATTCTTGGCAATGACGTGCGAGTACAGTACTCGTACAATAATATAGCGCGTTCTATGCGCCCCCAGCTAGCACATTGAGGATGGCAGCTCAGCCTGACCCGCAGCCCGTGTCAAGTCAGGCTAAATAACCACAATAATTGTCTCCTTTTGTATCCATAATCCCTAGATTTATAACGAACATATAAACCCTCATTACCGGTATGGTTCTTGGCGTATATTTTCCCGCTCTGCATTGTAGATCCCTCTGATGTGGTAATTCAGCTGATTCCCCCTGGTGCGACGTACAGTCGCACCTGGCTATAGTGAACCTCATTGTAGTGAATCCCTGGGTATAGTAAACCGGGCACATAGGAAAAACAGGTTCCTACAAGTAATGTGTTGGCTATAGTGGAAAAAACCCCTATAGTGTAGTGAACGGGAAATAGTGAATATGCAGAAGTATAAAAATCAAAACACATGTAAATTTCAATGGCTATAAGGAACAAAAGAAGTGTGATTTATAGACTATTCCATTTATGGACAAGTGGGAGTACTCCAATTAAGGGTACGTGGCATCACAATTCCACTCATTATCCTGTATCCATCTAGGAAGGATATTGCCCCCATGTTCTGGCTGGAACTGTGGGCCAGGAGACTCAGCCGCTTGTAGACTCTGTAAACGGTCAAGAGGTGGGTCTAGCATGAGAGCAGAGATGATAGGGGAAAAGCAGAGGAGTTGAGAAGGAGGTTCCGGTATTGAGGATGGATTAGTAGTACTTGATAGTCCTGTGATTAACTCTGGAGAAATTGTGCTGGTACTCGCCGGCCGTAAGGAACCAAGTTGAAGCCAATCGTTAAGGTTAACTTGTTTCTTGTTCCTAACTTCATGCTCCTGAAAGCCTTGGTATATTTTCCGAAGCTGGTGGATTACCATAGGTATTGGTAATGAGGATCCAGAGACAGGAAGTGTATCGGTAGGAAATCTTTGAAGAAGCGTAACGATGCTGTTGATATGGGCCTTGGCAAGAGGGATAGAGATTGTCTCAGGTAAATCGTTCCCAGTAATGTGATCAGTAGAGGAATCACTCTCACTACCACTTCTGTGACCTCGATTTTGCAGGTCATGTATGATATCGGTTGTTGATATACTATCCGGACTTGCATCAATGTCTGGGGCATCCTCATCATAATCCAAAAATGAGTTGGCAAGTTGCTCTACCTGCTGACTATTACAGCTAAAGTCGAGAAGAGAGCTGATAGATATCTGGGTTGCTTGCTGAATCTTTTCCATATACTCAGTATAGAAGCCATACAAACTGCGGTCAATGGCTTCCACCACTCCCACCTTTTGCCAACAATGAAAAATAACACTAGTAGGCAGTTTCTCCCATGCCTCAGTTATCATATAAATGACTTATAACACATCTAGCTTTGGAGCAGCTGTCCCAGTCCTTTCAAAGAAGTCCACTATATGGATAACACATCGCCGCCGGCAGCCCGCCCCCAGGGATCGAATAATTCCAGCATCAAGTGGCTGTAACCAAGCTGTCGTATTCGGAGGCAAATAGAATAGGGTAATATGGTCTAAAACAGGGGGTTTTGGACCAGTACATTTGATTAGTGGCTTTTCGGGAGGTGGGTGGCTTGGTGCATTATCGGTTATCAAGGCAATATGTCTACCTTGAGTCTTCATATCCTCATTGAGCTTTCCTAAAAACTCATACCAGATACCTGAGAGCATCCAGGCCTTCTTATTGGATTTGTATACGATAGGCAAATTGTCTGGATTGATTTTTGCTTTTCAAAAGGCGGCAGGAGTTTTGGATTTATTGATTAGCCAGTCCCGCCGCTTGTCAGATCCATCTGAATTGACTGTAACAAATACAGTAACTCGAGTCTTATTCTTTTTGGCTCCTCTGACCGTTTCGCCTTTTCTTGCGATAGTCGAATCTGGTCGCATATTATATCTAGTCATTTATATATTAGTTCCACAATTTTTATATTTTGTCCACAAAAGAACTATTAGGTATATAATACTTACTATAGGGCAAGGTCGTCGCAGTTATATATATTCCTTGGGGCAAAATCTTTCAAACTTTCTCTTAATCTAGCCTTTATCTCCGGTATACCATATGCCTCCAGGTTATCTACCTCAGTTTCTCCTTGTGTCTTCACCCTGCCCAATCCACACCAGTTCTTCAAACCAGCCAGCCAACCAGAGGAGAACTCAAATCCTGTATAATCCTCTCCTGCACTAGCCTCCTCATCTTGTAGTGCCACTATTTCTTGAACAAACTTTCTTGCTACAGCAAGAATCACATCGTCTGTCATAATTACTCTTGCAAGCTGAGCCCGGTAAACCCACTCGCTTATGTGAGTCTCCAGGACAGGAAATAGTTGCCTTGGGGCTTTCTTCTTCCAGTTATCGCTCACATTTAAATCGATATTTAAATGCTATTGACTATTTTTTAATATCATCGAAAGTGTGGACTTCGAAAGCGGGGCACCAGTTACCGGATCTAGAACCATTTTTATTCCAGTAAGTATCTCATTATCTCACATGCATTCTTCATTAAGTTATTCACATACCTGGAAACAGCTTTGCGAACTCTTCCAAGTTTATTTTCTCGTTCTCCTTTGACTCGGTTCTCCTTTTACAGATATCATACTTCTCTAGTATTGTCAAACCTCTTCTCCGCTTGCCTTGGCCTATGGAGCTGCTGTTGGAGCTGGTCGCTTTGTTGCTTGGATTTCCCCGGATCATTGCTAAACCTCCGTGTTCTCTCTTCTTGATGCTTGCGCAAACAGCTGAAAAAAAAAAATACCCCTCCTTTACTCTCTTTGGCCAAGACCTCTTAGTCATCTTTACTATAATGAATCCCTGGCTATAGTGAACGCGAAGGGTCTTGTTTTTGTCGTTCGTTATAGCCAGGTGCGACTGTATCAGGCAAACCCGATCGAGTTTGTAGAGCACTACCGGCACGGTAACTCGATCGATCCCTGATTTCCCTTTGCTCCCGCCAGCCAACAAGAACCCCTCAAACCCCTCGTCATCACACACTCTTTCTCCCCTTTTCACTCTTCAACCTACCTCCACCATCAGAGGCACCCCCGCTACTTAAATACACCACAATGTCAAGAAGGTCGAGTACGGATAGGAGCGCGGAGGAGGACGCAGCGCTGCTGGGCGGTCGGCCCACGAACAAACAGGCCGAGCGCGGGAAATGGGATGGATGGGTCAGGCTTGGGTTAGGAGTTTGGGCGATGGCTGCTACGGCTGGTCAGTTCACCATCATCCGCTTGCGAAAATAGGGAGATGAGGAGCTTTTCTGCCTTTTCTCCCTTCCGGTGGCTAACTGTGGAGCGTAGGAATCGTGGTTATCGCTGTGCTCTGGGTGAATAGCGGAAGCGGACGTAACTCAAAGTTCCCACCAGAGGGAAAGAGGAACGCTGTTTTCATGGTTTCTGATGGTAGGGCTTAACAACTCTCCATTTTTTTTGCCACTAGATTTTAGGCAGGGAAAAAGTGATAAACAAGCTATGGAGATTTAACGAGGCACACGATATGCAGGAATGGGCCCGACGTCTCTTTCTCTTACGCGATCCTATCGCCAATTCGTCGACGGACTCCATTGGGGCAATACTCTTACCCTCGATAAACACCTTATCGGAACTAGCAGGACTAGATCTAGCTCTAGTCTTGTGACCGACTCTGCGGCCGGAGCTACGGCCTTCTCTTGTAGCATGAAAAGCTACAATGGAGCTATCGCTGTGTTACCAAATGGGTCTCCCTGCGGAACGGTTTTGGAGGCTGCGAAAAAAGCTGGATACATGACGGGTTTGGTTGTCACCACTCGGATCACCGAGTATGTTTAGCCGTTTGTTATTTTTTGTCCGATTATAAAGAGGTAACTAATCTAAGTTCTACAGCGCCACGCCAGCTTGCTTTTCAGCTCATGTCAACCTTCGTGGCGAGGAAGACAGAATTGCGGAACAACAGATTGGCGATTACCCCCTCGGTCGTATGGTGGATCTCATGATCGGCGGTGGAAGATGCCACTTCTTGCCTAATACAACCGACGGTTCCTGCAGAGATGACTCTAGAGACTTGATTTCCGAGGCTCAGAAGAGATTCGGATTTTCGTATGTCGACGATCGCAAGTCCTTTGATGGATTGAAGAAGGGACATGCTGCCAAGTTGCCGCTTTTGGGTCTTTTTGCTCCCACCGACATTCCCTACGATATTGACCGCAAGGATGAGGATTACCCGAGCCTTGAGGAGATGGCCGAGGTTGCATTGAAAGCTTTGGAAATTGCCACGAAGGATAGTGATAAGGGCTTTTTTTTGATGGTCGAGGGGAGTAGAATAGATCATGCCGGGCATGGAAATGATCCTGCTGCCCAGGTTCACGAAGTTTTGGCTTATGATCGAACTTTCAAGAGGGTTTCCGATTGGATTGCCGGTTCACGGTATCCCGGTGTTGTCGTTAGCACCAGTGATCACGAGACTGGAGGATTGGCTACTGCTAGACGTAAGCAGCCCCTCTGAAAACGGTGTCAAATCGTGGACTAATGGAAGTCTAGAGCTTCATGAGGACTATCCGGAATACCTCTGGTATCCAGAAGTTCTTGCTAACGCCTCTTCATCCTCGGAATATCTCGCCGCTCAGTACGCCCGTTATGAAGGCCCTGCCGACCAGGAGGATGACTACATACGCGATACGATCCTCTTCAAAGGTCTCGGCGTCCATGACGCCTCCGACGACGAAATCAAGGCCATCAAAGATCATAAAGCCGACGATGACTCCGCATGGCTCCTTGCAGACCTCATTTCTCGTAGAGCACAGGTTGGCTGGACCACCCACGGCCACTCGGGCGTCGACGTGAACATTTACGGATCAACTGGAACCTCCAAACTTAAAGGCAACCACGAAAACACCGAAGTAGGCGAATTCCTCAGAGACTACTTGCAAGTGGATGTGGACGCCATCACCAAGGAATTGAAGAAGAAGGGAGTCGATAGAGTGGATACTGCTGGCGTGGGCAAAGTTGAATATGAGTGGATGGGAAGACCATTGAACGAGTTGAAGGAGGTTGGTTTCGAAACCGATGAGTTGGATAGCTACCATGGGCAGTTTAAGCATAAACATTGAGTACTGGTAGTTTGGAAATCATAGACCCTCTCCCCTCTCCCCTTCTCACTTTTCTTATAACGCTCTGCCCTTTTCCTTCCTTTTCCTCTTCCTTTCCTTTGCTGTTGTCGGTCCGTTCGTTCGCGTTGGCTTGAAAGATTGTATTAGAGTAACTTTAATATACCCCCTTGATCTTCCATAGAAGTACCACCAACTAGTATTACACTGTATAGTGTAGTACCGTGCTCTAGGTAAGTGAAACATGACGCACAACACTCGTAGTGGACAAGGAGCATCCGGAAACAGTCATCCCCGAACCGTATGATAAAAATGTGTGTACCGTATCTCCGGATGCGGGAGGGGGGGGACTGGGTGTGGCAAAGAAAGCGCTGGGCATGGCATCGCGAGTCATGGTCTGGCCGCCACTACAATTTTGAATGAGGCCTCAGCCCACCTCATCGCACTGCTTAAGCCTGCATACTGCCCGCTGTGGCAGGCTCCTAAGAAAGTCTCCTTAATAAGACAGTACCTTATACCACGCATTCCTTGTGCTAACCTCTTAGATACGATACCATCCTTAGCCGAGTCGTGAACCATGATTTCGGGTAGTCTACTCCAGCAGGACATCAATGCATAACCAAAGCCGAGCGTCCGTTTTGTTACCCAGACTACAGGTTACAAGCAAGATGTGTCAGAACACAATCCTCCATTGATGCTACAACAATTTCCCTACACCTTGTGGCCGGTCACATTCGGGGTTTTGGCTAATGGGGATCTTTGGGGCTACTCTCATGATAGCTTCAAGTAGGTGCCTGGGGGGCAGCCATGGGTGGGAGTTGGCCTTGCAAAGGGGTATGTAAAAGAGGGTGGAAGTAGTGGGTATCTGGTAGAAGATGATAGAGGAGATGGGTTTCTAGAGGATTTTTGTTTTGTACTTTCCTTCTAGGTTACTTTGGAGAGTTGTTTGGGAGGATTTCCCTTGGACTTCAACTAGGGTTACTTGTAATATTCAGAACCATTACCGTACCAGAGAGAAACTGACTTTCACTTTTGGTTTCAATCAAAAAGCTGCTTCTGCAGTCACTGTAATAAACTACACCATTCCAACTCAGATACCAAATGCTAAAATTCCTGTGGGTTCTTTTAGAGGACTTCTTGTTAGTCGGCTATCCATCAACAGTTTGACACCTAGGAGTCATACAGGTCACTTGATTTATGAACTAGAACTTGGAAGAAATAGAGTAGGCTGGGGAGTGTTTGGCTTGTCATAAGGAATGATGAGGTATTTTTGGCATAATTATCTATCTATATTTGAATGCAGTTAAGGGAAAAGGAGTAACTTTACTTTTTAGGTATTTTGAGTTAGAAGTAGTTTTGCATAGCAATGAAGTACGTTTTAAGAAAAAGGCAAAAATGTTTTTTTACATATTAAAATTGAAATAGCCCAACCAGCAATAAAGAAAACACTATCATAAAAGAATAAGGTAGACCTCGGCTGTCTATTTAATTCTATGTAAATATTTTTCACTTTACAATTCACTAATAGGTTCAAATCAGGAGTTGCTAGTAAAGTTTATATTAAGAGAAGTTAAAAGAGTTGAGTAAGTATAATTAATATAGGTTTTAACCTGAATCTACTGCCTTTTACTTGTTTTTAGAGCCAGGAGGTCTACCACACCCTCTTTTGACAGGAACAGTAGTTAGAGATTCTCCCGACGGATCATTGGAGTTCTCATCTTGATACAATTCTTGTATAAGCTCATGTTTGGCTTCTTTGACATTAATTGCATGTATATTCTTCTTTTCCCATACTATAGAAATTAGTAGTTTGTCTGAATTTGGGTAGTACTATTGATTTTGATACTGTAGTAGTACATAAGGAGAATATTTATTCCAGAGATTATGAGGTTTCTCTGAATTTAACTCTATATCTGAAAGTCTACTTGGTTCAATATTCAAGAATATGGATAACACAAAGTTCTTTTTTGTAAATCAATCTTAGTCTACTCATCTTCTGATAGTCCCTTTATCTAAACAATACTAGGATTTTGAGAAACAAAGTGAAAGAAGTAATAGTTCTGAATATCTTGCATGGTACTCAAATGAGGCCGAAGAGCTGACTCCCAATTTCAAAAAATTGTTTCTAGCAGATCATTGAAAAACCAAACACCTTTTATTTTACCTGCCTTATTAGTAGTATTAACAAGTACCATGTACATTTCTGGAGTCCAAACCTTGTTTCTGTTAGCCTTTTGCTTCACTGTTCCAAAGCTACAATCTAGACTATTTCTTGTATAACCTGTAATCTGAAATCCCTAGATTATTTCCTCTATATCCTGAGTCATAACAAGCCAACAAAGATACTACAACATTGTCTTATTCTTATTTTAGCCACTGCAATTGTGTGCTCAAAGATGAATCTGACCTTTATGTCTTGGAATTACTGTCAAGAAACATTGCAAAATTGAAACAACCAGGTTAGCTCCCTTACCTTGCTGTGCTTCTATAAACATAGCATAATAATGCTAGTCAATAGCATCATCTACTATACCAAAAACATATAACTTGAAGGAAGACTAATAGTACCATTGTGATGGCTGTTGAGAAACTCTAGAAATTTCTACAACTTGTTGAAAATCAAGGAATATGTACTTGTCTTAGATTCAAGACTCTTTAACTCTTGGATATCATTTTTATAAGCGGTATAACATAAACGATACTTGTCTTTAAGGATTTGAAGCCAGCATTCATGATTACTCTGCTCTGAAGGTTCTACATCAGTTAGTATACTATTACCCTCTATATCTTCAGCTACTACAGCTCTATAGTTTCCTCAAGCCTTTAGTAGGTTTCACAAAATCATACACTTATCACAGACATTCTTTGTTGCCTCATGAATTTTCATAAACCTTAATGTCTCAAAGCTCCTCCAAACTTGATAAAAGTTTGTAAAAGATACTGGGGCCTCTGGTTCAGTAAGTTTAATTCATGTAAGATGCATCTCATAGATAGTCTGATAGAATAGATGAGATGAAAGGTAAATTATTTTCTCAACTTCCATGTAGCAAACAACTCTCCAATCTGTCAACTTTCGCTTATAGGTATATATTACAATCACTTTACCTTCTTGTTCTCTTATACCTAAGAGAAAATTTTCAACTATAGCTATAGCTTGCTGTAGAGTCTTGTTACTTTGGGTATAATTGTGCTTACCAGGTAGTTTGGGAATAGACATTTGTGTTTCATGCAAGTAGTGAATCAGAGCATATACTAACTTCTTCAATAAAACTCTCTAAAAGATAGTAAGTACCTTGATATACACAGTACTTATAAATGAAAGAACATGCTGAATCTTTTTATTTTCCTACTTACATGGACAATAATTATTGTGTTGTTTCTTCCACTATTTTGATAGAGCTGGAGTATTTGATATTTGGGATGCTAGGAGGTAAGTAATTTTTACCTATTTCTATTTCTCTTTTCTTAACAGTCTATCATGATAGCTGAGCCACTTCATGCATGTTTCAGGATCAGCCTTTTGAACACACTTTTGTATGCAAGAGCAAGCATGAAGAAGTAACTTCAAGTATTGCATAGGTATTTCAGATTGCTCTGTACATCAGCAAAAATAAAAGCTTGCGTCTGGTACGTCCTGTGAGTCTGATGCACAGGACGCACAGGACACAAACTGCAACTCAGGATGCACAGGATGCAAGCCACGCCTCAGGGCGCAATAGTTCTTGGTGCCAGAAGTTAGGATGCAACCGAGTACTTTCTGAATTCTCTGGATGCCACCAGATGCAAGAGTTATTCTCAGGATACAAGTAAGTACTACTAAATTTTCAGGATGCAATGCCAAGACTGGACCTTGTGACCTAAGTCACATATCATGTATATTATAAAACTGTCAAAAAAAAGATTGTTTGTTTTCATATTGGTTCTATAATACAGAGTACAGAGAGAAAAGCTCCAAGTCCTCTAGTTAGTACACGATACCCCCTACATCCCAGAGGATAAGACTACAGGTATTGGGGTTAGATAGATGTTTAATGCACTATTGGAAAGCCAGTATCAAGTAGAACCGGGGTGCTGAGTCTCAGGTGCTCCACTGATAGGGCTCATGAGGAATGTGGTGTTAAAGTCAGCACTCCACCAGAACTCCGCCAAGGTAAAGATGACTTTCATAACAGGCTATAGCTCTACTAATATTGGCGCCGGGTAGACATGCTAGGTACTGTTGAAAGGCTGGTGACGAGTAGAATCAGGCCGCTGAGTCTCAGACACTCTGTCACAAAGACACCTGAGGAATCTGGAGTCAAATTCAGCAATCCATCAGAACTCTACCACTGTAAAGATGACTTTCATAACAGGCAGTAGCTCTACCAATATTGCCACTGGGTAGACGTCCTGGGTACCGTTAGAAATCTGGTATCGAGTAGAATCAGGCCACTGAGCCTCAGATGCTCTGTCTACTGGGCGCCCAAGGAATCTGGTATTAAGGTTAGCAATCAGCCAGAACTCCGCTAGGGTAAAGACCAATTTCATAACAAACTGTAACTCCACCAGTAGTGGCGCCAGGTAGACATCCTAGGTAGAGTTAGAAAGCTGGCATCGAGTAGAATCAGGCCGCTGAGTCTCAGGTACTCTGTCAAAAGGACGCCTGAGGAATCTGGCTCAAAGTTAATAATCTGCCAGAACTCTTCTAAAATAAAGATGACTTGCATAACAGGCAGTAGCTCTACCAATATTGGTGCCAGGTAGACGTCCTAGGTACCTTTGGAAAGCTGACATTGAGTATAATCAGGCTGCCTAGTCTCAGATGCTCTGTCCACAGGACACCAGAGGAATCAGGCATTAAAGTCAGCAATCTGCCAGAACTCCGCTAGGGTAAAGACTACTTTCATAACACACTATAACTCTGCCAATAGTGGCGCCGAGGAGACACCCAGGATAACGTTGGAAAGCCCGCCTCACGTAGAATTGGGTCACCAAATATGAGATGCTGTGCGCAAAGGACACCCGAGGAATCTGGCATCAAAGTCAGCACTCCACCAGGACTCTGCCAAAACTCCGCCAAGGTAAAGACCACTTCCATAACAGGCTGTAGCTCCACAAATATTGATTCCGTGCAGACATCCAGGATGCCGCTGCAAAGCTGGTGTCAAGTGGAATCTGGCTGGCAAGTATCAGACACTGCGCCTA